GGGGGGGGGGGGGGTGGGGTGCAGGCAGCTGGGGGGAACGGGGGTCTAATACTGCGTTAATAACAAGGCAGAACCAATCTGATCACATTTCAAATATCAAAACTGGTTCTCATAGGATGGCATGGCTAACAGTTACATGAGGAAGACTTCCTGACAGCAAGTGTTAAACTTGGCGTTTGTTATGGAGCAGGAAGTACAGAGTTAAAGACTCCGTCTCCCTGGGTGAGATCATCGATACCTTACATTGCCTGCAGGTAGTTAGAGTCACTAGGTGGGCTGCTTCTTACTGGGTTAGTGGAAAGTAATGTTAGTGAAAATTCTGCTTAAAAACCCCTTAGGCCAGCCTAAAAATTACTCCCAGCACATTCAGCACACCAAACACACAGCCCACCCCCATGTTTAAACAAACAAACAAACAAACAAACAAACAGCTGTTTCTTCGGTTGAGCATGAGATAAAGTAGTTGGCTTGTGTTTAGGCACAAAATGGAACAAAACCCCACATAGTTTACACAATAGAAAACCTCACTGCCCTATGCGACCTGCAACCTCCTGGCCATTACCGGGTGCCTCTCCCCCTCTCACTGAGGTCAATGGCAGCATGATGCAAGCCAGCGCAGAGCAGGCGAGGCCGGAGGCAAGCGCCCAGGAGACCACATACCGTCTGTCTAAACATTAACCATTCTAACTCGAGTTGACAAACTGTGGGAGTGTGGCCAGCCTCCTGCTTTGACATCTAAGCTGCCACATGACCTCAAAGGCCAGTTTTAACTTCTCCCAGTCTCCTGGGACCTTGTGGCCTGGGGAGAGAATGGTCACCTTAGCCTATTGCCCACCCCACTGAACCCAAAGACCATTCCCTGTAGGGAGGCACAGCTGGAAGACAGCCAAAGGGAGCCTTTTTGAGTCTGAGGTCTCGTTCCTACCTGATTCTAGCCTCTAGTTTAAGTTCCATGATTAAATGTAAGCATGATGTGGTCATGCATCATGGGTAATTTCCTCAGATCTCTGAGTTACGGCAGCCATCCAAGGTGTGAGAGCCCGGGCCTCCACAGACACTCAGGGCCGTCCATTCACTTTGGAAAATGAGGTCATGCTTTAGGATTACATCACTGGACTGGGATGGATGGTGAGGTTTCCTCGGTGATTCAGACTAGTATCTGATATTTACTGAAAATCCCTAACGCAGCTGTGAGGCACGTTTAGAACAAAATCCATCAACAGCTGACCTACAGTGCACATGACTGGGGGAAAGTGGCTCCAGCCAAAGGAAGCATCGTTAATTCTCAAAGCCTGCACGGCCCTCGCTCCCCGTCTCTATTACGCTGTGTAGTCCACGCCAGGACCCTATTCCATTTCATGCTCCCAGTTTTCACTCCTTACAGATCAGGAAACTGTCACAGGTAAGATGGACCACTCATGTCTGTATGAAAGGCCACTCTAACCATCTGAGATGATTGTGGGGTTTAAAAGATCCACATTTGTGATACTTCTATGATACTGAATATTATGAAGGGCTCCACCTGGGGAAAACCACAAGCGAAAGAAAGGCAGGTACAGACGCCACCATATTCTTTTTGTTTCCGCTGCTCAGTGCCTACTAGCACACCCTGAGCTCCCGGGATATGTTCACAAATGGTTAAGGCTTCTGGCGTGAAAGGAAACCTCTGCTAAGTCAATAGGACTGGGGTAAGGGTGATTTCCATCTAAATTTCTGGCCATAATCTATGATATTGTTGCACATGGAAAACAATATGGAATAGGCCATAATTACAATACTCTGCTGCCTTTTGGAGCCTACTTTTATATATTTTGTGACTCTTCAATTGTTCCCATAGCACAGAAAGCAATGTTCAAGTCTATGGCTTCTTTTCAACGTACACAGGAGTCATATTAAAATTCTGTCAACAGGGGGAGCTCAAAGAATAGTGTAAAATAGAATTACTCTGATCTGGTAAACTTGAAAACAAAAGGGAAGAAATGAAAGGATTCTGATGTATACTGTACAATTTTGTTATTATTTGGAAAGTAAGAAGAAATACATTCAAATTAATATACTAGTAAGTAGACAGTGTTAATAAGACTGGTTGATTTTTCTATAGCTTTTCGTCTCTAGGGAAATCCAAGGTTTTGTTTTTACATCCATGAGGATGACAAAGTATTGAATGTTTACATGATTCCCATTTGATTTAGCTGAGCTGCTGAGAGTTCAGAAGCCTTGCGCTTCACCTATTCAGACTTAGTCAATATTACTCAGGGATGTCAGGCCGCATGAAGTGTCAGTCACAACTCCCGCCCAAATTCCAGGGAGACGGGCTTCCATTTATCATGTGCTAATGTTTCAGTCAGGAAATTTGGAAAACCATTATGGGTTTCTATATGGTAGGAAGAGTAGCTCCCACTTTTTTCGTTTACTGGAATATTCTTAAACTCAAAAGCTCTGTTCATGTGACATCTGGATGTTCGAAGCTCTGCCCTACACCAAGGGTCTACCCCGGGAAAAGGCTTCCTTAGCTCATCTTTGGTGGGGCTGTGAGATTTGCCAAATGATCTTTCTGACAAGATTAAAAGACTGAAGCATTCTGGGAAGAAAAAATGTGGCGAATGGAATCTGTCGTGAGGGATCTGTGGGTGGGTTAGATGGATTGCAGTTGAATGCAGGGTTTATAAAGTGCTTTTTCCTTCCAAATAATTCAAAGATGTTGCACAGGAGCTGTGAGGTAGAAAGCCAGGAGGTAGGAGCCACACACCAATCATGCCAGAAACCAGCCTCATTGTTGTATAGCTGCCTTGTGTGGATGGCTTTACATTTGCAGCATCTCTGAGCAGAGAGCATTGGGCAGTACTACCCTGATCTCTGAGAGGGAAAATGCAGTATTTCTCCAAAAGATCATTTGTCAAGGATCGCATGTGCCGTCATCGCCAGAATAGACTCAGACCCAGGTTTCCTAACCCGAAATATGTAGGGCACAGGCAAATGCCCGGTATCTGGGCCAACGGGATCGATGGTCTCTAAGACCACTGCCAGCCCAAGACCCAGCCACTTTAGCATTTACGGACTCAAATGTGAATACATGGACTGCATCCATTTGTCCTTTTAATCAATTCTTTCAGTGGAATGCAGACCTTAAATAGAAGAGCAAGGTAATTGATACCATGAAATAACTGTTTTTCACCTGTGCTTTTTATTTAATTTGTCATGATATTTGAGACTTAACTCTTATTTGTAGAAAATGAGTAATTTTAAGATACTTTATAACAAAGGAGGAGTGACAAGAAAGTATGGCACACCTGTAAAATGAAATCAATACAATCACGTTAAACCATGTTCTTCAAGAGTGTTCAACGTCATGGGAACTGTTCACCACATATCGCTATGTGGAAAAAAAGTAGGTTATGAAGCAATGTGTCTATATAAAATATATACAAAAAGTCTAGAATGATGTGAACCAAAATGTTAATAGTCGTTTTCTTAGGAGGGTATTATTATCTGTAATTTCCTCCTTGTTAAACAAAATTTCTTATATTGTCTGCAATGATCAAGCTTTACATTTGTAATCAGAGAAACATGAATTTGACTTTATATCTATAATAATAAAAGCATAATATGCCAATTAGACTGGACATCCTTCCGGATGTCCTTCCAGATGACCTTCTGGACGAAGCTAGGGCTGCAAGGGAAGCCCAGGTCTGGGGTGCCTGCTGGCGGCTGGAGGGAAAGCCGGGTTCTAGGTGCCAGAGGGAAGCTAGTGCCAGTAGCGGGGGGAAGGAAGGCCTACTCTTGCACGAATTTCGTGCATCGGGCCTCTAGTAAAAATATAAGAGGCAGTTTAAGGGCTTTATAAAAATAAGATATTATAGAATTATTTCCTAGAAAAACTCTAGAAGAAAACATTTCCTACCTCATTTCCTTTGCTTCCGGCAGTGGACTTCATTTCCTTTGGTTGCTTAGAAAAAGAAAACAGTGTTTACATGGAGACACGTTATCAGCTGCATATCAAAATCACCTACTTTAATGATTTTCTTGGTCACAATTTTGAAAGTAACCCCGATGTCTTCCAACTCATGGGACCCGACAGCTGCCCACATCACAGGAAGCAGCTTCCTGTTCGGCGCCAGTTCGGAAACTTCCATCGAGCGCAGTGAGGAGGTTGGCAGACCACTAAGCCTGTCTGTTTCAGCCAACATTTTGGAAAGAGGCGATCATGCTGGATGTGCTTGAACGTATTCGGCCCTCCTTTGTACCTCGAAGGGGCCATCCGAGCTAAGCCGTGGGATTCCCACGCCTGTGAAGCCCCGCCGGGCACAGAGGGCTGGGAAAGGAATGATGGGTCAGCTGTCCAGGAAGGACTAGGTACCGTTAGGGGACAGGGAGACTTTCTGACACAAAAATGTTCATGCTCTGGATCACTTACTAAAACAGACAGGAAGCAAATGACACAGTGTGCACAATCTCATCTGATTTTTAAAATAATGAAAACAAAAATAAGGGTGTAAACAGTGTTACCTCCAGGTGGCGGGATTACAGGTGATGCTTTAATTTAAAAATTTTGCATCTCTGATATTCTAAATCGACTTTTATATTGAAAGTGATTAAAGTTATTATGCAAAAATACATAATGAAAATGCTTTGCCACTAGAAGAGCAGTGTAGAAACTAAGGTTTGGGCTTTTACCGCTTTACTAATTTATTAGCAAACACTGTCCATTATTAAAAATTCCCTGAGGACCGAAATGAATCCTAAGCAAAAAAACAAGTGCTAGCTAGAAGGATGTACAACATGTGACCCCTCGTTGCATTTCATTTAACAGTCTCACGTGGTAGGAATTCAGCTAAAAGGAAATGCCCCCTTCAGTACTGAAGAGCGAACCAAAACCAAACTAAAAACAAAGCCAGCATGAACGTGTGTAGGCAGAGACCGTTCTGTGAACGTCAATTTTGTATGTTAGAAACGAGGCCTTTTGAGGCTGATTCTGAGACGTCCCAACATCCAGGGAAGAGACTTCCTAAACGTTAACAAGCCAGATGAGTAACACGTTTCTGGCGAGACCAGCCACAGGGTCCTTGGGATCTAAAAACGAAGCACGAGAAAGAGAAGCGAGAAGAGGGCTCTCGGGGGAGAGGAAGTGGTGAGCACCAGAAGCAACAGGACGCGGCTGGTCAGGGCTTTCTAGACATGCCACGGCGAACCGCAGCTGTCATGCCAGGAGCACCCTGTTCCCCCAGCCCACCGGTCTCAAGTGGACGTGCCTGCAGCCAGACCTGCTGTTCCATGATGACATTTCTCGGGGGCATTTAAAAAACGAACCCAGGAATGGCTGTCCGTTATAAGATGGATTACTCTTGTCATTATTACCCAAATCTAGGGACCAATTACTAAGTATACACTGAGTGGCCAGATTATGATGACCACCCCATCAGTACTCATTGACACTTCCAAAAATACTGAATATTGAAAACTTCCTAAGCAAATGCTCTCAAGGTTTTATTATTATTACTATTTGCATAACTAATTCACTTCATTGTTCTGATGGGGTGGTCATCATAATCTGGCCACTCAGTGTGTTTAGGTACTACTTCCCTGGTAAGAACTCAGACCTGAGTTTAGCTTCGGTGTTCCTTCTACCATTTTTTTAAAAAAATATATTTTATTGATTTTTCACAGAGAGGAAGGGAGAGATATAGAGAGTCAGAAACATCGATGAGAGAGACATCAATCAGCTGCCTCCTGCACATCTCCTACTGGGGATGTGCCCGCAACCCAGGTACATGCCCTCGACTGGTATCGAACCTGGGACCTTTCAGTCCGCAGGCTGACGCTCTATCCACTGAGCCAAACCGGCTTCGGCCCTTCTACCATTTTTAATTCTTCAATGACAGCATGTTGTTATAGCTCAACACACCCTTTAATCTCACCTGAGAGACATGAAGAAACAACATGCATGGGGTTCCAAGCCTATTAGTAAAGATGTGTTTGATTTGAGAAAGAAGGGAAAGCTCGTATAAGCTGACTGTGTACAGGTAGGCACTCACCAAATGGCGGAACTCTACCGAGAGGCTCCCATTGGAAGATTCTTCGATGGACATGGCTTTGACGTGCGTTCCACACAGCACAAACCTGCGGTTACTGGGGAAGAAATCTCAGCCGTTTACAGGGTCTCCGGGAAAACAGATTTATGACAACAACAAAGAGTTCCAACGTACAGGGCTTACCTTAGAGTGGAAACATTCCTGTAAACACAAGAAGATTTTTTTAAAAATAAGCTACGTAATAGACCTGGGAAAACTTTTCATAACACTTGAGAGGATAGTAGGCAAACCTTCATCCCCAGCCTTTAGAGCAAACTTTTACAAATAAGCCTTCACTGGCGTTCTGTTAAATGGTTGAACTTCAAAGTCCAATATTTGAAGTGCACCGATAAGTAATGTTAGAGAAATAAATGTAAACATTTGAAATTACTCTAAAAAATGGGAACAGTTCTTTTTAAAGAGTCTTAGATTTTCCTGTTTCAAAATGAAATTAGGTACTTACTTGTCAATCGATGCTTTCACCTTTACCTGATAATTTAGTTCTGGCAGTTTTATTAGTAGTCTGGAAAGACACAAAGAATCAAAGGTAAAAATCACAAGTCCTAAAAGCCTTTTTTTTTTTTTTTACATTTAGAGATTTAGATATATTTATAGCATATCCATATAAATCAGATTGCATTATCTCCCTGTGTTAGTGTGTTTTAAACACGTCCAATTCCTCTTTAGTTCTCCATGCTACTAACACTGACATCAGCCACTTAATATACTGACAAGCATTTGGGAAGTGTTTCCATATGGCTGTAGGCCAGTGATGGCGAACCTTTTGAGCTCAGCGTGTCAGCATATGAAAAACCCTAACTTAACTCTGGTGCCATGTCACATATAGAAATTTTTTGAAATTTGCAACCATAGTAAAACAAAGACTTATATTTTCGATATTTATTTTATATATTTAAATGCTATTTAACAAAGAAAAATCAACCAAAAAAATGAGTTCGTGTGTCACCTCTGACACGCGTGTCATAGGTTCGCCATCACTGCTGTAGTTGATGTGTGTTGGATAAAACCTTGGTTAGGTCAGAAAAATAGCTATATATTTTGGTTCAAGCCAAAATTTGGGTTAAATGTATAAACATAAGAAAAATCAAAGTCTATTGATATGGCTTCATTTTATTCTTGTACTAGAGGCCTGGTGCACAACATTCGTGCACTGGAGGGGTGGTGGGGGGGGGGTCCCTCAGCCTGGCCTGCGTCCTCTCACAGTCCAGGACCCCTTGAGGGATGTCCGCCTGGAGGCTTAGGCCCGCTCCCCGCATGAGCCCAGCTTCTGGCTGAGCAGCACACCCCCTGGGTGAGTGCACCGACCACCAGGGGGCAGCTCCTGCATTGCACGTCTGCCCCCTGGTGGTCCAGTGCGCATCATAGCGACTGGTGGTTCCACTGTTTGGTTGATTTGCATATTAGCCTTTTATTATATAGGATTTTAAGAACACATTTTGTAAGCTTACTAAAATTATATGTTTTGATGGTAACTGTTTTATGGTAAAAATATTGAGAAAGACTAGGCCTCTGGTAGAATATGGAAAATTCACACTTCAATGCATTTGTAATCTTTAAACATACTCTATATAAGTAACAGCAAAATGTCCATAATTTAAAAAGACATAATTTCAAATCAAGTGATTACAGGTCAGAATAACTTTCTTTAATTCCTTAATCTGGTGAGGGGCCCTTTTTTCTTTTGCTTTCCCCATCTCTTCCGAACTGTACCCTCTCTCTGTAGGTTCAGTTCAGTTTCTGAGATAATCACTCACTTACTCATTCATTTACTTATGCCCTCATCCCAATCTTCATTCGTTCACTCAGCATGTATTGAGCTCCTCATACATATTCATTACGTGCTCTAGGCTGAATGGGGTACTGGGGTAGTGAAGACTGGGAAAGGGAGAGGTGTGGACACTGCTATACATAAAAGGAAGAAGTCCACTCACATATATGGAATATAGAGAACGGTGGAGTAACTGATGGGCATGAGAGACATATAATCACAGATACTAAACAGCCCGAACAAAAGCTGGGTAGAATGTCGTGAAGGTTCCTTCAATGTCCTGCACCAGGCACAGGACTGAGTTCAGGGTTTGGACTATGATAAGCGTGTAGTGCTGGTAGCAAGGGTTGGTATGCAATAAGGCAAGATGGTTTCCCTCTCTGTCCCTCTGCAGGAAGGGAGTCCCCTGTGACCTCTCCCTTTGGAATAGAAGGATGCAGTGCTGTGGTGGAGAGGGGTTTAAGGGACAAACTTGAACACTAAGTAAAGGTTCATCTATTCAGACAGGGGGAACAGGGTCCAGAGAAGACAAAGGGGGGCCCAGCGGTCAGGGAGAAGAGAAGGTCAGGGAGAAGAGAAGGACAAGGTCTTTGTCTCATGCAGCCAGTTCAGACAGTGTGCCAGGTGGTGCCATTCAGGGACCTGTTCCACTCAGAACTCCGCGGAAGCAGTCCCGACTCACCCCCCTTTTTGTTCTAAAGAGTATCTTAGACTTCACATACCATCCATGGGGGCGCCTCAAGGGAAGGTAGGATGCTCACTACCCCTCTAATTTTACCTCCATTTAGTGTTGTTGTCTTCTGGGTTACAGACGGATGAGAGGATGAAGAAGAAATGATTTTTGAAAATTATAACATTTTTACAAAGGACTTGGCCTTGGTTTTAGTTCTTAAGTCTTAGTGCAAGATTCACACAAGGAAATGATCAAGAATTTCGAGGAGGGCTTTTGAAATGCAAATTGAAGACAAACCGTCTTCCCTGTAAAAATGCAGAGGTGATGAATGTGAACTAAACTTACTCTGATGATCATTTTGCAATTCCTGAATGTCAAGTCGTTATGCTGCACACCTTAAATGTATACAGTACTTACACTAATTATATCTCAACTAGAGGCCTGGTGCATGGGACTCATGCACTGGTGAGGGGTGTGGCCTGCGGGGATCCACCCGCTGTGGGAGCGCTCATCTGGCTCAGCCAAGAGGCTATGGACCCTGTCAGCTAAGCGGCGCTCCCCCTGTGGGAGTGCACTGACCACCAGGGAGCAGCTTCTGCATTGAGCATCTGCCCCCTGGTGGACAGTGAGCATCATAGCGACTGGCCGACTGGTCATTCTGGTCGTTCCGCCATTCAGTCGCTGGGCTTTTTTATATAGAATAGAACGGAAAGAATAAAATAAGAAGGGAGTTCCAGTAGTGACATGTGATCAGGGACCCTAGTATGGCATCTTAGTTCCCCTTGGCAGCTTTACCTCTTGGATTAGCCCAGGATTTCAGCTTTCTGGAGGCGAATGGTGGCCAGTGATTTTAAACTGGGGGGCCCTGGAGACTGAAGCATGATGCAAAATCTTTGAAAGCTTAAAGTCAAACTCATTAAGTGCCTTAGGGACACGCTACATTTTGGTTGCTCCTGCTACTGGAAAGGATCAGATACATCGCTAAAGCAACCATAACACAGAAGTCATACCCATAAGTAAGTATACACCGAAAAACGTGGTGTTGAGTGTTTTCTCAGAAAAGCTCCTAGGCTGGTCACGGGGTAGCGCAGGGGAGACCGTGCCATGTCTTTCCTGGGATGGACATTCGAAGCTTTCCCTAGTCTGTCCCCACCTATCCTCTTCATCAGCTCTCTTCCTGCTCACAGGCTCAGGAAACAGACCTCAGAAGTCGTATTTCCTGGCTTCCTCCCCGCGAGCCTGCTCTCCTCTCCTCCGCTACCCCCCGCTCCCCTCAGGGCCTTCCCCGGTGACCCCAGTGCCTTCTCCATCTCTGGTCTTCGCTCCCGGTAAGCTTTCCAGCCACTCGTTCCATGGTGCTCGACGCTATGACTTCAGGCTGCCATGCTAAGGCCCCCCATCGTCACACTTTCTACCAGCAGGGCCCTCACCTCCACGTTCCTGTGGCGCTGACCACAGCTGAGCGCCGGGCAAGCAGGAGGCGCTCACTGAAGAGCAGGTGGAGGAAGGCCCAGGGGGAGGCCCTGGCCCCGGCCACACAGTGACTGTGGCTGCACGCACACGCGAGATGCTGGGACGCGCCGTGCCTACCTCAGCTTCGCCGTGAACTGGATGAGCGTCTTCAGCACCATCGGCCTCTGCGGGTGGGTGGGCATGCAGGGCTGCCGCTCCACCACAAACGAGCTAGATTCAAAGGAAGTCGAGTGTCACCTGAAAACACTGAACAGATCGACAGGCTACAAACCACAGAGGAACAGGATGCTGTCCTCCCCTAAGGTCCACGTTTCCCACACAGAAGACACTCAACCCCCAGCGAAGCGAAGCTCTCTCCAAAGACACCTCACAAATAACTCCCAGGAAAGGGAAAATGGCCTGGAGCCCATCCCTGCGTGACAACAGTAATTCATTCTTTTTAAAAAATATATATATTTTATCGATTTTTTACAGAGAGGAAGGGAGAGGGATAGAGAGTTAGAAATATCAATGAGAGAGAAACGTCGATCAGCTGCCTCCTGCACGCCCCCCCACTGGGGATGTGCCTGCAACCAAGGTACATGACCTTGACCGGAATCGAACCTGGGACCCTTCAGTCCAAAGGCCGATGCTCTATCCACTGAGCCAAATCGGTCAGGGCCAGTAATTCATTCTTAATAGTTAAAACTGAGTGAAGAGGAAAAGCCCCCCTCTATGTTTATTCTACTAAACATAACATAGAAAGTTAATTTCATGCCATTTTTGAAGTAGACAGTAGGCTTTCTGGTACATACTAGTTTTTTCTTTTTCTTTTGGATGAGCTTATAAACAAACACATGTTCTCCAGCCTTCATTTCTTAGACATGCACTTGAGAAATCCTTGAAATCCTCTTTTTCTAAATGTTGACAAATCAACTTCAGGTGGGTGACGTGCTTGGTTCATGGAAAACGGACTCGGTTTGGGGGTGGGGGGAGTGCTGATGAGCAGTGAAGAACAGACCTGTTTCCGGAACTCTCTGGAGCTTTACTCAGCTCACCCCAAGGCTCACTGTTCAGTTCCCTACCACCCCTTCACCTCAATGCCAAACCCCCAGAGGGTGTCCCTACCACCCCAAGGCCTGGGGGTGCGGAGGCATTCGACGAGAACACTCACTTCTTAAAAATGCTGCAGATCAAGAAGGTGACCCTCTCGAGCAGGTGTGGCCTCTGCAGGGGGATGGGGTCCCCTTCGTACGTCACCTTGGACGACTGCTCCTCCAGCTTCTCCAGCTGCCGTTTGAGTTGGAACAGACTTTCCGCCAACAGCGTGAAGCTACGGAAGCACAGGATGAGCACAGGTCATGTCCCCACGTCATCTACTATTTTTCTACTATTTTAACTATTCACTGTACTTAGCAAACAGTCACATGTTGAACGAAATCAATCACATACGCCCCTGAAAGGTCAGTGACAGCTGCTCACATGTTTTTTTTCCTTAATCCGTGTTTTCCTCTAAGATGCGTGAGACAATGTTAAATATTTTCAACATTTTCTAATGTGTACCTTCAGTTATGGACAAGAAATGCCTTGTAATGACCCTCTGCTTAACACAGACCGGTCTGTGGAACATGTATGTTAAGAATTTGACACTCACCAAGGAGCAATGGAAGAGCATACTGAGAGCTTTAAAAATACATGATGTGAAGCATGTTGTGTGTAGAATCCTGAAGAAGAAACACAGTATAAAACGAGCATGTATGTTTGCTGTAAGTCCTAGGATTAGCCTGGGACTTATCGATGGAGATCCCTGGAGAAAGGTATCTATGTGTTCTCCTCACTCCGCCCTGACCCCAGCTCAGACGTGCAGAGGGGAGTGTGGGCCGGGGCCTAAGAGGGAGACTGGGATGATGGAGAGGGAAGGGGCCTCCGCTATCTACCCAGGAGGCTGCCTTCGACAGACTGGGCACATTTGTCCGCATAGCCCTGACCCGTCCCCTTAGCCCCGACCCGTCCCCTTAGCCCTGACCCGTCCCCTTAGCCCTGACCTGTCCCCTTAGCCCTGACCCGTCGTCCCCTTAGCCCTGACCCGTCCCTTAGCCCTGACCCATCGTCCCCTTAGCCCCGACCCGTCCCCTTAGCCCTCAGACTGGGCACATTTGTCCGCATAGCCCTGACCCGTCCCCTTAGCCCCGACCCGTCCCCTTAGCCCTGACCCGTCCCCTTAGCCCTGACCCATCCACGTAGCCCTGACCGCAGCTCTTCCCACATAACGTCCATGCCCCACGCGGCATTGCAGGGAGCATGGCTGACCCCCCATTTCACTGCTGCCTTTGCTGTTCACCTTGTTTTCCCAACAACAGAGCACAGGGAGGTCAGAGAACCGCTGTCTCTCCCTCGGGAAACGTGTGCATCTCTGCAGGAGCCCAGCTCCTTTCTTGTGGGATGTGCCTGCGGGGCAGCGCTTCCCGTGCCAGTGTCCCGGTCCCCACGGATCGCACTGTACTGAGCTGAACCCTCCGAAGACAGTGTTAGATTCTGTTGGCCATTTTCCTTCTTTTTAATTACATTTTCTACGGTTCCTTTCCTCCAGCTGGCTTGATTCCTCCCCTGGTGAAGGGGGAACCCACTTTTTCTGCTAACACCAAGCGCCGCCTCTGATCACGAGCGCAGACGCTGTCCTGGTCCCGGGAGGCTTTCCATGAAAATACAGAAATGCATTGCTCTGGGAACACAGATTCAGGCGGAGCTGGACGTCTTAAGGTCCACCTTCAAAACAGAGGTGTCTTTTCAAGCTCCTGAAGCCATGCTTCTGACGTCCCTAAGAAAGCGTATGGATTGCTGGCTTCAAAACTTCCTGAGTCTTATTTGTTTCTTTGTCTGTTTATCCCCACCCGAGGATATTTTTCCATTGATTTTTAGAGAGAGGGGAAGAGACAGAAATACCGATGTGAGACAGACATCGATTGGTTGCCTCCTGCATGCGCCCCGACCAGGGCCTAGCCGGGGACGTACCTGCAACTGAGGTACATGCCCTTGACCGGAATCAAACCCGGGACCCTTTCTCCGCAGGAGGATGCGCTATCCCCTGAACAAAACTGGCTAGGGCTTGTAAGATTAAGTATATAAGAAAATTAAGCAATTCTTATGCATTTTATAAATTTCTACGATGCTCTCTTTTTCTCCACAAGGGAATAAAATTGAAGAACATGTATATCATGACATCTGTTGGTTTTCAACTGAGGAGCAGCCCCTGCTAGTCCACCACCCACCCTGGGGGAGCTGGCACTCTGGCCCAAGCGGCTTTCTCCGGCTGAGCGAGGCTGAACTTGGGTACATCCTGTGGTTTTCTCTAGAAACGGAAGTCAAGTGTCTCACCAGTTCTGGAGCTGGTCCAGCCCGCTGTGGAGTGGACCCCCGATGCAGGCGACCTGCTGCCGCCGCTTCCAGTCCTGCAGCTCCTCCGCCAGCAGGCTGCTCATCAGCAGGTCTGACTCGCCGACTATTTGGGTCAGCTTGCCCAGCGCTTCCTGGAAACAGAGAACACGGCTGAGGTGCTCATGAGACACAACTAAGTCACTCTAACCCCACCTATAGAATGATGTGTCTCACCCATACCACCTTCTGTTCGCCATCCCACTGCCTCTGCCAACCAGGAAGGTCTTACAGTCAAATAATGTCATGAAGAGAAAAGCCCAGTCCCAGGGAACATTCTCTTAATAAATACGCTGAGACTATCACAGAATGTGTGAGTCCTGTGACAATCCTGTATAACAAAAGCCTAATATGCAAATTGTCCCCTTGTCCGGGAGTTCGACCACTCGCTATGACGTGCACTGACCACCAGGGGCAGCGCAGAACATGGCCGGCGTTGGCGACTGGGCGCTGGCAGCGGGCGGCAGTGGAGGTGCTGCTGGCTCCAGTGGGGCCCGACCAGAGCAGGAACATGGCGGGACAGTGGAGCAGGTGAGCGGGTGGCACCAGGCCAAGGCAGATGCAAGCTGGGCCCGATTGCCCCACCAATTGCCCCGCAGATGGCAACCAGTGGTGGCGGTGGGGGGGGCGGGTTGCCGCCCGGCTTCCAGGCACTAAGGGAGCTGTGCAGGGGCTCGATGACTCAGGTGGAGGAGGATGCACAGGGGCCCAGGGGACCAGGTGCTGCCCAGGGCCCAGAGGTCAGCTGGGACATGCCCTTCCACACCAGACGCTTGTGCTTCAATCGCCGGCCAGGCCTCGGGACCGCACCCGTGCACAAGTTTCGTGCACCGAGCCTCTAGTATTGAATAAAGCCATATATCTGCTTTTAAAAAGATTTATACATTGAATTAATATTCTTGTACGCATGTTTATGCATTTATTTTAAAATGTACTGATGAAAATGTGAGCCTTTCCATGTTAGTTGTTGTTAGTACTTACCTGGGTTTTGGAAGGTATAGTGGAGAAGTATAACTATTAAAGGCCTAGGCATTCCTACCCTGGTTTTGCCACAAGCTGTGTGAATCTGGATAAACCACTGAACTCTGCTGGAACTTGGTCTTCTGATCTATGCAATTATTTCCGAGGTTCTCTCTCTCCTTAAAATCTTATTCCTGAAGTTATGTAGTATGCCTTTATTATGCATAAAACATTAAGTTTATCTTGGATTAACCATCTGCATGTTTAAAATCTGATATGTAATTGTTTAAGTTTATAATTTAGGGTAAAATAAGTTTTATATTTACTTGTGCTAACACAAATTCCTGCATAAAAAAATGGATAGGAACGTTCAGAAATAAAATACTGATTTATCCTATTTAATAAAATAGGATTTATTGAAAATTAAAGTAGAGATGCTCCTCCCTCTTTTAAAATAGTTCACTGAGCCAGAAAGAAGTCCCTCCTCTCGCTGGGAGGAGGTTAGATTGAAAAATTCAGACTTCAGTAAACTATCTTGAAATCCAGTGCAAGTTCATTTTTCAGCCTGGAAACTGGAACACTTAACTTTCCAGGAAAATGTTGGTGTCTTCGAGGAATAGTTTACGTGTTTTAGTTACACATATGTAGCGGGGCCCATCGCAGCACATGATGCACAGCAGCTAAAAGAGCCACGTCTGAAATAGTGGCGAATAGAAAGCAGGTGAGATGTTCACCCTGGCCTTGCTGGTAGCTACAGTCAATGTGCCACGTAAGCAAGAGAAACAGACTCTAGCCCAGTGATGGCGAACCTATGACACGTGTGTCAGAGGTGACACGCGAACTCATTTTTTTGGTTGATTTTTCTTTGTTAAATGGCATTTAAATATATAAAATAAATATCAAAAATATAAGTCTTTGTTTTACTGTGGTTGCAAATATCAAAAAATTTCTCTATGTGACACGGCACCAGAGTGAAGTTAGGGTTTTTCAAAATGCTGACACTCCGAGCTCAAAGGTTCGCCATCACTGCCCTAGAGCAAGCATGTCAGACTCGCAGGCCCGCTTTGTAAACGTAGAAGCACAGTGGACAGTATGGCCCTTTTCCTAGAAACGCTGCCATTGGCTCATTCAGCATAAATTCTGGTCAGTGGGATTAGATGCAGGAAAAGGAGAAAAACAGCCAAAAGGCCAAGCTACAGCTCATCACTGACCTTCCTCTTGAAGTCCAGGCTGTTGAGCATTTCTTGCAGAGTCAGCACCTCCTGGCTCATCAGGGCATTGTTCTTGTCACCCTGATCTGCGGAGACAAAGAGAGCAGGCTGAGAGACTCCCCGAGACCATGGTCTCTGCCCTCCTCAGGTGCAGGAGCCCAAGGGGGCCATTAGGGAGGGGAGCGTGATTGTAAGTCTGTTCCTTGTGCCAGGAAGGATCCCACCCCAGCACGAGGAGAGGAGCTCTGTGTTGCAGCCCTTGGGAGAAGACCACGCTTCCATCATGTTCCTTTTGGGGGTCGGGGAGAGAAGACACAAACATCTGTATCATGGATTCCTTATCAGCCACCTCTACGTTGATGATAATCCGGGTTGGCTGGCAGAAGCAGGAAAGGAAGGGGGCCCTTGTGCCCACGATTATATCGTATTTGACTCCTCCTGATGCCCCACCTTGTACCCAGGAGTTACGAGACACTGCCTGGTGGAGTTAGTGCTTTGTCTCCTTGATCTCATGAACTAATAACAAAGACTAAATCCTTCACTTTCCCTTTTTCTTGGCAAAACAGGCTAGCCTCACAGTAAAACTAGAAGTGGGAAAGAGATGAAGGTTTTCAAAACATCTCGGACAGAAGACAAACCAAAAGGATTTATCCTCCTAAATGGACGATGTGCAAGGAAAATTGTATTATTTAATTTAAACATCAAATTTTATTGGTATAGAGCACGCGATGGTTTCTACCAACCACTCACATCTATGAAAGGTGGACACAGGAACGTTGATCTGAATCATGTATTTGAAAAAGAGCACCAGGACAACAGTGTGTCAAATGCCCTATAAAACAGCAGACACCCCAAAAGGCACCCTGGCTGCTTTATTTATTTTACAATATATGTTTATTCATTTCAGAGAGAAAGGGAGAGGGAGAGAGAGAGATAGAAACATCGACGATGAGAGAGAATTATTGATTGGCTGCCTCCTGCACGCCCCACACTAGGGATTGAGGATGCAACCCGGGCATGTACCCTGACCGGGAATCGAACTGTGACCTCCTGGTTCACAGGTTGATACTCAACCACTGAGCCACTCCAGCCTGGCCTTGGTTGCTTTAATTTACAAATTCACTAACTGCTAACTGTGTAGCAAAATCTTGGTTATGTAGCATTTTATCAATTCAAAACTCCCTTAGCTAACATTTTCCCATCTTCACAACCAAGGATAGAACTTATTTTCCATGTATCTTTCATTTCACTGCACTTAGAACCAACAAAGTCAATACTTGATTTAAATTGTAAGATGATTATTTTCATTCTTCATAATTCTCATTGAGCACTGAAAGATATTAAATGAACTCTAATTGCAATATATTAAGTTCAAAGTAAGTTTATCATTTAATGTATTCTGTTATATTCTAACTAGAGGCCTGGTGCACGAATTTGTGCCTGGTGGGGTCTCTCGGCCTGACCAGCGATTGGGGCTGATCGGGGGCCATCTCACCAGGGGGAGGGACCACGGGAGGTTGGCCGGCTGCGGGAGGTTGGCTGTGGGAGCGTACTGACTACCAGGGGACAGCTCCTGTGTTGAGTGTCTGCCCCTTGGTAGTCAGTGTGCATCATAGCAACCAGTTGGCCAGTCATTCAGTCAACTGGTTGTAACCGTCGCTTAGGCTTTTATATATATGTAGATTCTCAGAATTGATAGTTCACATATGAAATTTAGGATGAGGCTGCTTTCAATGAACTGTAAGGCTTAATGAAGTTCCCAGCCCTTAAATCGCTTTAGGATCGTGGACCCCTTTGATAATCTGATAAAACCCATGGTTGTGTCATTCCTGTGTAGAATTACAGATGAAACAGAAACTCACCCATCATCTGAATCGTTTTATACCTGTAGTCAAATTCATCTTGCAGGTCTTCTAAATATTTGGTGTCTTGTTCTGTTATCTTTTTACAAAAAGAAAACAACAAACACATGTTCCCTCAGTTGTTAGAATTCAGCATGTCAATGAAACATCACCCGTATTTCAAAATACACTGTTTGTTCTTCTGGTTTCCAGTAATATCGTAGACTAACCGTATAGAACCTACATCACAGGCAGCCCATTCCCAGGAAAGCTGAGTGTCACTGGGAGAAACAGGCTGAATTTGCTCACCCATTGTCTCCACCCAATTGGAAACTTGTCCTCTTGTTTCTCAGTGAGTGTCAAATGATGCCACCAATCTCCTTTTCCACCCGAGAATATGCACCCTTCCCCCGTTAGTTCCATGTAATTCTGTTCCATGTACCAAGGATCATGTTGCTGGGAGTCTCCTTTCCAAGCCGCCGCAGTGTATGATAATTCAGTATACGTTTTTCCCTCTCTACGTCTTAGAAAAAATGCTTCCTCCGTGTCTCCTGTTTCTCTCCCTGAGAGTTTTACTTTTCTCTTCGCTAAACCTGCTGCTGTTTTTCTGCTCAGACACAGCAGGTACTGAGCGTCAGGACCTGGGCTCTTCATGTGCGAGCTCCGCAGCCTCACAGCAGCCCTCTGCCAGCGACCCCCACACAGAGGGGGAAGCAGGGGTCTGCGCTGTGACCGGCTTACTTGCCTGAGGCCACATGGCTCCCGGGAGGGAGAGTGGCGGGCAGACCCAGCCTCCAGTACCTGACGTTAGAAAGCTTTCTTTCCCCAAAGCCATCTTTTCTAATAGGAACACAGGGTGTGAGAGCATCGATCTCACTGACAAGCCGCCGTGTTTCTGAGCCCACGCACTCTGGACCCCGGAGCCAGGAGCAGCGCGGGGACCGGAGCCAGCCTCCTGGGCACCCACAGCTCACTCACCTGCACGCTGTTCTTAATGGCGGCCACTTTGTGCTCCACGTTCCTCTGTCTTTCCGAAACGGAAGAGCTTTGCAAGGATTTCTCCAGAGGTCCCTGGGAAAAGAAGGTCTTGAAATTTCAGTGGTGTGGACAAAACAAGGTTTATGATGAACGTGGTATGTGGAGTTTACTTTGAACTGAGGTTTGGATCGATATGATATGAAATACTCTATAACCGTTAAAAATCATGCTGTAGAAAAATATTCAATGACATATAAGTAGTGTCATGGTGTTAAAAATAGAGATTATGAAACACCATATATTTATGATCTCTATTGCTTATATATGTATGTATATTTAGAAATATATGGACATATGTACAGACATGTATACTCAAGTACATGTATTGGAAGAACATCCCCCCGCAATGTTGTGTGTTATCCATGAATAGTAAAGTTATAGATTATTTTATAGTTAAAATTTTTTCTTAATTTGCTATAATCTGTATTACTTTTGAAATTCTCTAAAACTAATACATGTAATTTAAAAATTAGTATAGTGAAACTACATTAAGTTAGACTTAAATTTAGAATTAGACTTAACTTCAGATGAATCTGACAGCATGAGAATTATTATATACTGGAAGGAAGGGAGTTTATGAAAGAATGTGTCAGAACGTTAGCTTTGTTCAATAGAAAGGCTGACCAACTCCTCCAAGTGCGGCCACTCTAATAACCTGATATTAAATGTGTTTGCTTCCTGCACATGCCCAACCAGGGCCAAAGATTGAGTCTGCAACCGAGGGACATGCCTGTGACCAGAATCTAACCTGGGACCCTTCAGTCCGAGGGCCGATGCTCTACCCACTGAACCACACCAGCTAGGGCGGTAGTTAACTATATTCTTGAACCAATGTTGTAACACCATGGGCCAGAGCGTGACCCGTAGAGAAAGAAAATAATGTATAGATAAGATTCTACAAACAAATGCTGGGAAAACTTGGTAATCATCTCAATAAAGAAGCAGAGAAAAGGATCTCACTCAAAAGGACCCCAGGTCTTGATGACAAGTGGCCTGCAGGATGGTGGCGCCACTAACACAGAGAAGAAGCGCATTTGCGAGAAAAGACTTTCGGTTCAGAAAAATTGGGCCCAAGGAGATAACAAGATCACAAGTTCAGAAAATCTTACCTGAACGGGCATGTTGGCAGCAGCCAATATTCTCCTCTCTTCCCTTAAGCAATTTGAAATAACTACAGCTACATGCATTGGATTTCCATGAAATTTTCCCTGGAAAAAAGGGAGCAGAGGCAACATAAAAGCTTAAATCTGTGCATCATAAAGAAACATTGCTGTTTGCAAATTAAAAAATGATATCCCAATAAATATGGAAATCATTTGGGATTTGTCCCAACTATTATAAAACCACAGAAACTCATATTGTGAATGTAGACTTCTTTGAGGCATATTGTTCTGTCTTCAAAAATCATGTTACTTTAGGCTTAGGGCCGGTTTTAGGTGAAGAGTTAGTCATTATGAACCACAGCTACTCACTAGTTAACTATGTGCTTCATGGTCTGCTTAACGCCTTTCTTCTGGTCCCTGTTTGGTGCTGTTCCTATTGACTAGCTGGGTGTGTTATAGAAGTTAAACACTCTAACCCTCCAGGGGAGCATGTATTACCACAGTTGCCTTAGCGTCCACCACTCGCCTTACCTGCCAGGCCCCTGCTGGTGTCTGTGTTTTCTTGGTTTACAAGTCTAATTTGATCAACACCATCATTTTAGTCACAGCATTACACTTCATTATGATTAGCCTCATTCCAAGGTAGGATTAACGGGAGGCACAATAAATGTAGACAAATGCATTTACTCTGCCCCCCTCTCTGAAGGACGTGCCAACTACCCGTGAAATGGCCAAAAGATCAATAACAGAAAAAAATAAAATAACAATCTACAAAGTGGGAAATTAGCAATTAATCAAAAGTAGGTTATACAGATGAGTAGACCAAGGGGTCTTTCTAGGAAAGAAATGAGATTATTGGGTGTAAACACTTTTATGGCCATGATTTTGTTAGATGATGAATGTCAATTAGCACTTTTTTTTTGTAAAAGTATCCTATATTATAAAACCCTAATATGCAAATTGACTGAACGGTGGAACAATCAGTCGCTATGATGCACACTGACCACCAGGGGCAGATGCTCAACACAGGAGCTGCCCCCTGGTGGTCAGTGCACTCAGCCAGAAGCCAGGCTGACGGCTGGCGAGCGCAGGGGCGGTGGTGGGAGCCTCTCCCGCCTCTGAGGCAGCGCTAAGGAGCAGCGAGCGGGCTTCGGGCTGGCAAGTGCAGCGGCTAAGGACCCCTTGGGGGATGTCCAACTGCCAGGTTCGGCCCGCTCCCCTAAAAGGAGGAAATGAATTGACAGAAACTCATAAGGTAAATAAATTAAAGCAATTCTACTTATGCACAGGGCACCAAACTTCTGATTTCTGCATGCTGACAACTTCAGATCCCTTCTAGTTAGAACGTTGTTAATGTGTTCCTGTTGTTCCTGTTCCCACTTAGCGTTTCCATCTGCCTCCCAAGAATCACCATTTGGTCTGGTTTTTCTCACTGCTACAGGAGTTCCTCTTGGTGATGCTATCTTCCAACATTTCTCAGCTCCACGGGGCACACTTTTTCATTTTTCTTTCCTGCTTAAACTTCTTTTACCTTCCCTTTCAGAATCAGCTTCTCCCTGGTCTTGTCAGGTTAAATTACTCACTTTCCTCCTTTTCTAAGAGCAAAGAATCACCAGGCTATTTTTTCACTTCCCTTTTGCATTTCTCCCTAACTTACTCCCTCATGTAACGTAGAAGACAAAAACATCTTATGGAAAATTGATCACTGTAGAGTCAAAACCAAATTAGCACTTTTTATTTTTGTAAGTATCAAAGATGTCACCTTTCAGTAGTTACCACATGTATGCATCTCAAAAAAAAAAAAAAGAGCAACAATACAACAAAAATAAAAAACAAGCCCTCCACGTGTGGCGGGTGGAAGGGGGGCAGGAGAGACGCTGCCTTTCCGTGTGTCCGTGTTTCTGTGTACAGGCCTTCTGCCCTGTGGCTTGTCCTGTCACTATCTCACAGGGTCAAGAAACAGAAGTTTTTAATTTGAATGATGTCAAAATCTTCCCTTTATGGCTAGTGCTTTATATGATTGAAGGTATATTTCCCTAACTTGTAGTCATGGAGGATTTTCTCCCCATTTTATCTTTTTAAGTCTTTATACTATTTTTATTTTATTTATTTATTTTTTTTAAAAATATATATTTTATTGATTTTTTACAGAGAGGAAGGGAGAGAGATAGAGCGTTAGAAACATCGATGAGAGAGAAACACCGAGTAGCTGCCTCCTGCACATCCCCCACTGGGGAAGTGCCCGCAACCCAGGTACATGCCCTTGACCAGAATCGAACCCGGGACCTTTTAGTCTGCAGGCCGACGCTCTATCCACCGAGCCAAACCGGTTTCGGCTTTATACTATTTTTTAAAGTATTTTTTATTTATTTGAGAGAGAGAGAGAGAGAGAGAGAGGGAGAGGAAGATAGGGAGAGAAACATTGATGTGAGAGAGAAACATCCATCAGTTGCCTCTCGCATGCGCACCCCGACCAGGGATCCCGTAACCTGGTTATGTGCTCTGACCGGGAATCGAATGGGTGGCCCTTCAGTGGGTGCGTGGGGCGACATTCAACCAACTGAGCAACAGCGGCCAGGGCTAAGTCTTTATACGTTTGCCTTTGATTTTCATTCCTATGGAGCTGGTTAATAATGAGAGGTCCTTTCATCTTTTTCTATATGGATACGCAGTGCCAATGATATTTATCGAACATTCTGTGCTTTCACCACTGCTCTGCCGGGCCACTCTGTCACAGAGCAATGTCTATATGCGGATGGGTTTGCTGCTCACTGTCACAGAGCAATGGCTATATACAGATGGGTTTGCTGCTCACACCCGTTCCATCTTATGGTTCTGTCTGCCAGCAAACTGTCTTAATTACTAGAGCTTTATGGTAGGTTTGATGGCGAGTAGAATAGGTTTGGTTTGCATTTCCATACAGATTTTAGAAACGGCTTGTCAAGCTACACAAACACACAACCACACTGAGAATCTGAACGGCAATAAATCTTCAGATGCATCTGGGAGACTTGGCATCCTTATAATTGTGCTCGAATTCATTTATTTAGGTTTTCTTTAATGTCTCTGTGAAGCACTATAATTTTCCACAGCGATCTTACAACATTTTTGACAGGTTTCTTTCTATGTAGTTGGTAGCTTTGATAATGAAGTAAATGGTATCTTTCTTTCCTAATTGTTTTTTAAAAATGTACCTTTATTGTTGAAAGTATTACAGACATCCCCTTTCCTTCCCCATTGACCCCCTCCTCCCCATCCCCTGCCCCCTCCCCACACCCAGGCCTTCACCACACTGTTGTGTCCATGGGTTATGCATATATGCATACAGATTCTTTGATTTTGAAAACTTTGCTAAACTCTTATTGATCCTAATAATGTATCTGCAATATCTCTTATTCTAAACATTTATCTGTAGATTCCTTTGGGTATGATTTGCATATACAAATCATAGTAAGTATAAGATTGCATAAATACTGATACAGTTTTTCTTCCTTTTTTTAAAAAAAAATATATTTTATTGATTTTTTTACAGAGAGGAAGTGAGAGGGATAGAGAGTTAGAAACATCGACGAGAGAGAAACATCATCGACCAGCTGCCTCCTGCACACCCCCTACTGGGGATGTGCCTGCAACCAAGGTACATGCCCTTGACCGGAATCGAACCCGGGACCCTTCAGTCCGCAGGCTGACGCTCCATCCACTGAGCCAAACCGGTTGGGCTTCTTCCTTTTTAACGGTCTAGTTTCCATCAGGATTTCACCTTCATCCTAAAGACTTATTTAGAAATATGTTGGTTTAATTTCCAAACATAGGGATTTTCTATTTATTCCTTTTCTGAAACTGATTTTTCTATAGATTTAAAAATTCTAATCAGAATTAATGTTTTGAATTATTTTAATTACTAGAGTCCCAGTGCATGAAATTCATGCGGGGGGTGGGGAGGAGAGGGTGTACCCCTTAGCCCGGCCGGCACCCTCTCCAATCTGGGACCCCTCAGGGGATGTCCGACTGCTGGTTTAGGCCTGACCGCTGGCTCCTAACTGCTCGCCTGCCTGCTTGCATGATCGCCCCTAACTGCCTCTGCCTGCCAGCCTGATGTCCCTAACTGCCTCTGCCTCGGCCTCTGCCACCATGGCTCTGTCCGGAAGGACATCTGGAAGATGTCTGGTCTAATTAGGATATTACCCTTTTATTAGTATAGGTTTTGTAGCCCAGCATACGGCCCTATTGTGAATAGATGTTCCCTGTGAGCTTGTGGAGAATTCTGCAGTTGTCGGCTCAAATGTCTTACATAGGGTCATTAACCCAAGTTTGTTAATTCTGTTGTTCAAATTTCTACATCTTTGCTGATTTTTTGCTTGATTCATTTAGTCGGTTATTGAAAGAGGCGCGGAAAGGTACTTTGTGACCTTTCTCTTGTGGCTCTGTCAAAGCATTCGGACCTTTACATGTTACTGCTTAGCCAGGCCTTTCACTGCTATAACCTGGGTCTCTTATGCCTTTCGCCTGAAGCAAAAAGATCAGCCACGATATTATTCTTATCACTTAGAGTTTTATTTTATCCGTATTGAAATAATACTTTATTTCAACATATAGATATTTAAAAATCACATTGTGCATATAAAAGGGTAAATATACATGCAACTTCATTTACTTAGAATTAAACTTTTCTTTTTTTAAAAAAATATACTTTTACTGATTTCAGACAGGAAGGGAGGGGGAGAGAGTGAAACATCAATGAGGAGAGAGAATCATGGATCAGCTGCCTCCTGCTCACCCCACACTGGGGATCAAGGCTGCACCCTGGGCATATGCCCTGACTGGGGATTGGACCATGACCTCCTGGTTTATAGGCTGATGCTCAACCACTGAGCCACGCAGGCTGGGCAATATTCTAATTTTTTTTAATGGCATCATGCTGCAAGTTAAGGGCAATCTGTTCAAAGTCAGCAGGGAGTTTCTGCTAAATGGATACTGTACATCTTAACGATAACCCTGTACAAGGCTTGATTTGTTCTCTCCAGCCTCCTATTGTTTTGAGATTTCATTCATCTATTGTGAGAAATTTGGCAATTTCTCTTGCCACTTTGTGTATGATAGGCAAT